ACTGTGAGGGTCCTCATTGCTCTTTGAGCTTGGTGGGTTTTTTTTACGGACATTTCATAACTCCAATAGCTAACATCATCTGTGCAAACCCCACTCACTTCTACCACTGATGACATTACCTAGTTCAGCCATGAAACGTCTGCAAGGAAACCCGACAAGCTCAGAGAGCACCGAGGATCCCACAGTCATCCTCCTCCTCCTCTTCCTCCTCCTCCTCCCCGCAAACGCCACTCGCTTCTAGCACTGGTGATGTCGCCTAGCTCAAGATTGCCCCCCCAAGTTCAGAGATCCCCACCCAAGGTCCCTTCCTCTCAACCCTGAGCTACAAATATTCTCCTCTATCGATAAGGGTGATATCCATACGAAGGAATGCTTGGTGGCACAAGTATTATACAGAGAGATAGATATACGTTTCACTAGTAGAGGGTTCTGTTGGCGCGTGTCTCATTTTAGCTAACCCATTTGTCTTGATGTTAGTAACCAATGAGTTCTCCCTTCTTTCTTTATGTTCCCCGTGTGTGAGTGTGTGTGTGTGTTCTAAAAGAAGTCACTCTCCCTCTGTAATTGCTGTCAGAGAGGACATTCCAGGACAACGGTGTCCTATTTCTCCTCACTCATCTCCAAATTGCTGGTGGGTGGGGGAAAATCACCTCTTTTTGAACCTGCCACCCTTAACTTTCAACAAAGGCAGAGGCTGTGCTGAAACTGTTCAACTGGGCAAAAAGACAGGATGAAAAAAAAAAAAAAACCACCAACCCACACATTGCCGGCCAACTAGCCTGGCTGGAGACCTAACTTGACCTCCTGATGAAAGGCTGGCCAGGAAACATCTCTCGTTGGCCTCCCAAGAAAGTTGACCGATGTCGCTAATGCATACATGGGTACATGGGACAGGAAACGAAAGCTCGTTCTTTCCTGCCAGAGGTCCTTTTTGGTGAGAAAAGGATGGAGAGAGAGAGAAAAAAAATCTCTCATCAGCACCTTTGGTACTTCGATGTAGCCAGTCATGATGATAATGCTTGTTGGCCACAGTCAACTGCATGTTAGTCCTATCTTCAGAGGATCTTTGGTCATGGGTCTAAAGACTCAACCAATTGAGTCTTCTGGTACTTTATCACTTCCTGGTGTGAGTTTGGCCCAGACCTAACCTTTCTGTGCTCTACCCCAATGCTGTCTCATGTTCTTCAGCCACAATTCAGTGGCTGAATTCGCATCGTTGAAAAACCAAGATGCTTTTCGTGATTAAGAGGCCTTTGAGAAGAACCTCAACAAGACTCATGGTCTCTCTGAGTTGGTCCTCTACAACTTTTGCCCATCTCCAGATGCTGGCTTCCAACCACAGGGCTGGATGAGAGCTTTCTAGGCGACTTCTTTGGGTAGACCACAGGTCCCCCAAATGTCTTGTGCTCCACTTCTTATCCGTGATCATGTGAAGGTGATCCTGCCCAATTTTGATGAAGGTTGTTGACACTATCTCGGGTAACAATTACAACAGGGTGATCTTAGATATGCTTTGTAGACCTCTTTTTTTTTTTAAATTCCTCTGCAGTTGGGCAAATCTATGAAATACTGATAAATATAGGTACAGCCCATAACAAACACGGGGAAGGAGAACCTACGTGCATGCAAATATTTCAGAATGTTTCATTTCTTCCACTGATATTCACAAGACACGGGATGCCAGTTGCCCAGGAAGGTAACCCTTCTTATCTAACCAACAATGGAAGGAAGGAATGAAAGAAGTTCAACTGTGGGTTGGATCTTCATCACCTTCTCAGGCATGCTTCCATAACTTCCCTGGGGCGTGCAACGCACAGCTTCCCAATCTTGTGTTATTTTAGAGAGCGCTGCTCTTTGGAGGCCATAAAATCTTGACCCGCACAACTTTTAGAAGTCCGTTCCTTCTACCTCCTTCTATTTTGATACTTACCAGATGGAGATGACCTACAACTTTGAGCAGCCATGGTTCAATGAGAAGGAATGTTGGTAGTTGTAGGGCAGCAACATCTGGAGGACATTCAGTTTTTTTCCATCCTTGCTTTCGACTGGCATGAAATGGATGTTACATTTAAAACACAACACCAGATCTAATATTTCTCACCCGTCCACCTTTTTGGGCCAAGCACCAACAACCTATTTCTGTCTGGACAAAACATAGATGGATATTTTTTTTTTCCCCTTCACACACTCCTTCAAATCAGTTGCAAGAATTTGCAGGCCAAGAAAAAAAACAAAAATCTGAACTTCCCCACACCTTCTCCCCTCCTCTTCTCTCTTCCTTCCAAACAAAAATGAAACACAGGTAAAAACCGAAAACGAACCTACAGTTACAACCAGAAGACACCATGACAGAGGTAGCTGAAGCCTGCTTCCAAAGGACCCTCCAAGACGGAGGAGGAGGAGGAGGAGGAGGAGGAGGAGGAGGAGGAGGAGGAGGAGGAGGAGGAGGAGGAGAAGGAGGAGGAGGAGAAGGAAAAAGGCAGTCCCCCAACCTGAATTTGCACTTTTTCCCCCCTTGAGGACAAAAATGTTTTGCTTCTCAACTAAGAACCTTCTTCAGTTCATAACCGAAGAAGCTTCTTGGATGAGAAGCAAAAAACATCTGCGAGGAAAAACAAAGGAAAGTCCATTTTCCTCTTGAACCTTTGGGACCCACTCAACCAGTTAAACTAGTCGCCTCTTCCCAAGAACTAATTGGCCTCCAAGTTTTATTCAGTCCCAGGCAACATGCCGGCAACTGGGAAGGCTGAGGATGAGACTCGAACAAGGTTATTGTGAAAGTCCGGGATGGAAAGATCTTTGGGATTTGATGTTGGCAAACCTCAGAGAGCATCTCAACCCCAAACTGCAAATGTCAGCTCAGCTTGAAGGCTTTCCAAAGACACTAACTCTTTCCTCAAAACTCAACTCGCCCTCGTTCGTTCTCTCTCTCTCTCTCTCTCCTCCCAGGGATTAAATGTTTGGAGTGGAGGGGGTGGGGAGGATCAGGAAGCCAACTTTCTCTGCCATCTGGAGTGCCCGAGGTTGTGGTTTGTTCTCACCCGAATGGCATCCAGACCGTGGCGATGGAGCCATTCGGCACAAAAAACCAACAAGCTAACACCCCCCACGAGCGACAACGTGCTAAATTGTGTCTCCTGGTCCGTGCCCTGGGCAACAACGTGCTAAATTGTGCCTCCTGGTCCGTGCCCCCAAACAGAGGGTTGGCTCCTCTGTTTTGGCCACAGCTGAGGAGAACTGTGGTTGCTTTCACAGATTCTTTGCAGAAGGAGGACACTAAAGTTGAAGGAGAGGGGGCTTCCGTATGCTCCAGCAGAGGAGGTCGGGAAATAAGGACTCAGCCCTCCGAGGCTGACCCCAAAGAGGACAAAATGGGAGGGGTTAGACTGCAAAGGTGATTGCATTCAACCCTCTTTTTTTTTTTTTTTTTTTTGCAAAATGGAATTTTCCACGAAAACATTAATACTGATATACGGGGTTCCTTCAGTTGGAAAGTTGGCAGGAAGTCCTCATTTCTCCTTCCCTCCCTCCCTCCCTCACTTCTAGTGTTGTCTCAGCTACTTTTTTTTTTTTAAGTGTTATTTTTAAAGCTGAAGAGAGAAAAGGAACTAAACCACGCCTGCCCAACCTCGGTGACTTTAAGACTTGCGGATGTCAACTCCTGGCATTCCGTGCTGATTGGGGAATTCTGGGAGTTGAAGTCCTTACGTCTTAAAGTCACCAAGGCTGGATAGTCCTGATCCCAACAGATGAAACAATGGGCCAAGAAACGAGCTAGGAGGAACTGTCTTGTCACTGAGCAGGAGTTGGTCAACTTTTAAGGCTTGTGGACTTCAACTTCCATCATTCCACACTAGCCGTGCAATTCTGGGAGTTGAAGTTCCTAAGGTTCTTAAAGTCACCAAGGTTGGATAGTCCTGATCCCAACAGATGAAACAATGGGCCAAGAAACAAGCTAGGAGGAACTGTCTTGTCAATGAGCAGGAGTTGGTCAACTTTTAAGGCTTGTGGACTTCAACTTCCATCATTCCACGCTAGCCAGGGAATTCTGGGAGTTGAAGTTCCTAAGGTTCTTAAAGTCACCAAGGTTGGATAGTCCTGATCCCAACAAATGAAACATGGGTCAAGACACAGCTGGGAGTAAGAATAGATTGGGGGAGTGTCCCTTGTCCCTCTTGTCTAATGCAGCTTCGTTCTAGGAAAGGGAAGCTCTTCAGGTTGGGTGATGCCCCAGTTTCTTCCCCAGTGTGAGACACACACACAGACACAGACACGTACAAAGGGGAGACAAACGGCCAAGGAGGATTTGGAGAGGCAGGCAGGCAGTCGATAAAGCAATTTTAAGGCAGACTGTCCGGTTGTTTGGAAGGTTGAATGTCACCCTGTTCCTGAAACGGGAAGGGATATTTTGGTTGACTGGGAATCTAGCAGCAGCAGAATTAGCAGCATGGCGGAAATGGAGATCTATGGTTGACCTTCTTGGTCATCTTTTGTCATCTTCTCGGGGACGCGGAGCACGTAGCAGCTTTGCCCCCCCCCCTCTTGACGCTCAGTCCCTCTGACCACAGGTGTGTGTCCTTTCCACAAGAGCTAGCAAGGTTCTTGAGAACGCCTCTCTGTCCTTGCTCTCTGGCGGTTTGCGATGACCTCTAGATGTAGGGAGGGGATCCGCGTTCGGACCAAACAAAACCTGGCTCGGTCGAAGAGGTCCGATCTTCTCTGGAAGAAAAAGCTCGAGGGCTGTGAACATTGAGCTCCCTCTTTCTCTATCTCTCGTGCTCTTTTCTGTCCCTCTTCCCTCCCTCCTCTAGTTTCTCTCTATAAATATTAAGGCGAAACATTGATCTATGTTTCTTGCCGGAATCTGGAACCAGAAATGCAGAAAACCCAAACTTGACTCCAAAGACGTACAGAACCGAACCTAAAAAAACCATAACACGGCTCCTACGAGATGGACGCGAAATTGAATATAACACATGCTTTCTTCTTCCCCCACCCCTACCCCCACCCCTACGACCTGCCCTGGAAAGTCCTTGTTTTTTTTGTGTGGGTTTTTTTTGGGCGGTCTTGCTTGTTCTCGCTAGTTAAGATACAATTAATACAAATAATCCGGCTGGCCGCCGTTTCTCCCCCCCCTCCACCCCGTCCCTCCGGCAGAGTTTCGGGTCTCCTCGGGGCAAAAAAAAACGGAAGGCAGAACCGGTTGCAGTCTATAAATGCCCCCGGCGTGGAAACGACACCGGGGGACAATTTGAGCAGCTTGTTATAAAAAAAAAAAAAGAAATGATACTGATAAAACGAGAGGTGGAATGGTGCGTCTCCTTGCCTGCCGCTGGCGGGGAAGCTCTCTGTCTCTGTCTCTGTCTCTGTCTCTCCCTCCCTCTCTCTCTCTGTCTCTGTCTCTCTTTCTGCTGCACCTTAGCGCTTGGCGTTAGGCAAAGTTGAAGCCACGGTGATCCTGTTGATTGTGCTCTTCAGCATTGGGATCTAAACAAGCACATTCTCCCCGCAGGTCGCAAGACATGGGGAACGGGATGACCTGTAAGAGAAGAACGAGAGTCAGAAGAGACCTTGGAGGAGTAAGTGCAGCACAGCCCACCTGGAAGTTCCGGAAGTCTGGAAATGGGCCTGTTCCCGGTCTCCAGAGGGCCTCCAGAGCCTGGGCGAGGCTGTTTTTGCCCTCCCGGAGGCTCGAGGAAAGCTTGAGGAGTCTGGGGAGGGTGAAAAACAGGCCTCCCAGACGTCCAGAAACAAGCCCGTTTCCGGCCTCCGGAGGGCGTTCAGAGCCCAGGTGAGGCCATTTTTGCCCTCCCGGAGGCTCGAAAAATGCCTCCAGAGCTTGGGGAGGGCAAAAATGCCCGGACTATGGTTCAGGAGGCAGAGTAGGCCACGCCCACCCAGCAACCAGGCAGAGAACCAGTTGCTAATTTTTTTTAATCCCACCTCTGGCTTTCAACTCATGGACATCAGGTTTTTCAGGCCATTTCATGTTCCTGGGAACAATCAATTGGCTCTCCTCCTAGGAGGAGGTTGGGAACTAAACTTGAACGTCTGGTGTGAGGCCTCCTCAGACATCTCCAGAGGCTGCACCATACCAAGCAGGTTATGGTAACCCAGCCAGGGGATGTTCAAAGTTTAATCGTTGTGAGATATGGCTTCCTTCAGCAGAAGGCAGCCAATTTCGAAGGATTGCATCAGGAAATGGCAGAAACCGAGCTGGCGATGGGGGAGGTTGAGGAACGGAGTCCCCAGTGTCTTTTCCCATCTGCGCTGCCAGCGTTAATGGTTTAAATCCCCTCCTTTGTTGGCCGATGCCACAACCTGTTTCCCCCTTTTTGTTTCAGCACTTGCAACACACTCCGTCTATCCCTCCTGACACCCCGATTGGTTCTTTCTTGGGCAATTTAAAGAAAAACATCTGCCAGATTCTCTCGTGATGATATCCACAGGGGCTTCTGGAAATAGACAAGGTATTTATAGATACACTTTCGACAGCTAGGCTCTCCCCGTGCGTACATCCACCTGCTTCTCTGACACCCAGGTTACGCAAAGGAAGAGAAGGGCCATCTTCCTAGCTAGACAGTTTCGCTTCCACCCACAATCTGGTAGAAGCTCAATGCATCGACCTCTGGGTCTGGTCTTGTCTGGCCTCCAACAAGCAAGACAAGAGTTTTCATTTGTGAACTGCAGGGAATTTCAGACTTATTGCTGCGCGAGAGAGGCTTGTAACAAAAGCTTTCAGGGGTGCACAGGTCCACGGAAGACTTGGGAGGGGACCTCCTTCCCAAGTTGATCCCCTAACGGTACTTTTTTTCCCCAAAAAAAGGCAACTGGACTTTCTTGTGTTGTTCTCCTTCTCCTTCTCCTCATCTTCCTCCTTCTCCTCCTCCATGTAAACCCCACTCCAACTCTTGTTGTTGTTGTTGTTGTTGTTGTTGTTGTTGTTGTTATTATTATTTCTTCTCCTCTCCTCCTCCTCCTCCTCCTCCATGCAAAGTCCCACTCTGTTATTATTCTTTCTCCTCTCCTCTCTCCTCCTCCTCTCCTCTCCTCCTCCTCCATGCAAACCCCACTCCCACTCTGTTGTTATTATTTCTTCTCCTTCTCCTTCTTCTCCTTCTTTTTCCTCTCCTCCTCCTCCTCCTCCTCCTCCTCCTCCTCTCCTCCTCCTCCTCCATGCAAACCCCACTCCCACTCTGTTACTTCTCCTTCTCCTTCTCCTTCTCCTTCTTTTTCTCCTCCTCCTCCTCCTCCTCCATAAACCCACTCCCACTCTGTTATTATTTCTTCTCCTTCTCCTTCTTCTCCTTCTCCTTCTCTTCCCCTCCTCCTCCTCCTCCTCCTCCTCCTCCTCCTCTCCTATGCAACCCACTCCACTCTGTTATTATTTCTTCTTCTCTTCTCCTCCTTCCTCCTCTTCCTCCTCTTCCCCCCTTTCTTCTTCCTTTCCTCCTCCTTTTTTTTTTCTAGAATAACCATGACCTGAATGATGGAGAATCTCTGTAGACATTTTCAAATTGTTCCCAAATTCTATTTTCTAATGTGACCTGAGAGGGATACCTGAGGGAATCACCTTTTCCCAAGACTCTCCACCTGTCCAACCAAATCAAGCAGAAAGGATCTGCTTTAGATCCAGTCAGCCAAAGAGAGTTGGCTGGTGAGGACCAAAGGATGTCCTTGTTCTGCAGTGGGCCCTGATCAATGGACCAACCTCTCTTCAAAGATTAGAATGGTCCCCCCAATCCTGTTAGCTTCTCTTACAGTAGTGGCCAAAATTGTGGAAACCTTTTGGGGAAAGTGTATTTTCTAAAACTAGCTAATAACACCACTTTGCCTAGTACCCTAAAATTATATATCAATGGAAAGATAATTTAATCAAGAATGTAATGCAATCACTTTTGTGAAGGATTTGCTATTAGAGTAGCAGTTACAGTATAAAGAAGAAAAATGAAGCCCGTAAAAAAAATGAGATTATACAAAAATGATCACCCTAGAAAAAATGAGATAGACAAAAATGATCCCCATGTCAGTTAATCCTTAGTTGGGTAACATTTAGCATGAATGATGGCCTTACAATGTATTCGCATGGAGTGAACCAAGTCTTTGAGTTCTGCAGCTGCTCTAATGTGAAACCAAGATTGCATGATGGCTTCTATTAACTGGGTTTTATTGCTGGGTCACTTCTGACTAACAAGTTTTTTTAGTCCATAGATTTCCACTTGGGTGAAGGTCTGGGCTATTCCCAGGCCATTCCAGCAGTGGAATAGGATTATCTTGAAACTCCAAAAAAAAAAAAAAAAGTGGTGTTATTAGCCATCAAACTTCAAAAATACACTTTTCCCAAAAAGGTTTCCACAATTTTGGCCACTACTAAAATCCAGGGTACATTCCCGTCTGTGGAATGCTATAAATGTATTAAGGGTCCATTTCCTGGCCAAGCATTTTGCTTCCATGCATATTTAATCTGAATTAGCATTTTTATTGTTTGAAAATTGTTCTTCTTCTTCTTCTTTTTTTTTTAGTAGTTTTAATTGTAATGCATTTTCTGAACTGTAAGCCTCCCGGGGTCATTGACTGAGATGGGTGGCGATAGAAACTGGAGAAAGAAATTATTGATTTCACGAAGGACAGTCATGCTAGGAGCTATATTTAATAGCCGTACATCTATGCCCCGCCACAAATGACACAAGATCTAATTTGGTTCCTGTCCTCACCTCACCTGTTCTTGTCCTTCGAGAAGTTGCTTAGCTCTGCGGGAATGCAGAATGCCTCACGAGTTCTGACTCGAATAGATATTCAGGGAAAGAATGTTCTAACTTTAGATTATTATTATTATTATTATTATTATTATTGGTTAATCTTTAGTGAGATTCACAGCCTTTGAGGCTGGTTAATAGCTCAGCAGCTCGAGTCCTAACCAAGGACCTAGGAACTGTTAAGGTATCGTCGGAGGATGTAAGCTGTTCCGAGTAAGGTGGTTTTTTGTAGAGTCAAAATGTTCAAGTCCGGCAAATTTAGAATTTCTAAATAGCGGGGTAGCCCTTTGGGTATTGCTCCAAGGGCTCCAATTACAATCGGGACAACACACGATTTCTTTTTCCACAGTCGCTCAACTTCAATTTGCAAGTCCCGGTACATTGTGCTTTTTTCTTGCTGCTTATCTTCAATTCGTGCATCACCAGGTATTGCAATGTCAATGAACCACACTTTTTTCTTTTCAATTATTGTTATGTCAGGTGTGTTGTGGACCAAGTGCCTGTCAGTCTGAATCCTAAAGTCCCACAAGATCTTGAGTTTCTCATTCTTATTATTCTTATTATTCTTATTATTCTTATTATATTCTTCTTCTTCTTCTTCTTCTTCTTCTTCTTCTTCTTCTTCTTCTTCTTCTTCTTCTCTTCTTCTTCTTCTTCTTTCTTCTTCTTCTTATTATTATTATTATTATTATTATTATTATTATTATTATTATTATTATTTTTCTTTCACCAGATCAGTAAATTCCTGGACATGCTTTGCTCTCTTGAACTGGTTCTTACAAACCACGGAAAGTATTAGTACCGCTTTATAAAACCTTCGTAAGGCCACACTTGGGACACGGCATCCAGGTTTGGTCACCACGTTACCAAAAAGATGTTGAGACTTTGGAATAAGTGCAGAGAAGGGCAACTAAGGCGATTAAGGGCCTGGAGGAAGAATGGCTGCAGGATTTGAGTTTGGCTATCTAGAGAAAAGAAGGTATAGCAGTATTCCAGTGTTTGAGGGGCTGCCCCAAAGAAGAAGGGGGTCAACTTATTTTTCAAAGCACCAGAAGAGAGAACAAGAATCAATGGATAGAAACTCATCAAGGAGAGAAGCAACCTGGAATTAAGGAGAAACTTCCTAAAAGTGAGGACAATTCACCAGTGGAACTGCTTGCCACCAGAAGTTGTGGGTGCTCCATCACCGGAGGTTTTTAAGAAGAGACTGGACAACCATTTGTTTGAAATGTTTATAGGGTCTCCTGCTTGGGAAGGGGCAGAGGTGGGCTTCAGCAGGTTCTGACCAGTTCTGGAGAACCGGTAGTGGAAATTTTGAGTCGTTCGGAGAACCGGTAGTAAAAATTCTGACTGGCCTGCCCCCATCTATTCTCTGCCTCCCGAGTCCCAGCTGATGGGGAGGAAATGGGGGTTTTGCAGTAACCTTCCCCTGGAGTGGGGAGGGAATGGAGATTTTACAGTATCCTTCCCCTGCCATGCCCACCAAGCCACGCCTACCAAGCTATGCCACACCCACCAAGCCAGAACCAGCAGTAAAAAAATTTGAAACTCACCACTGGGCAGGAGGGTGGACTAGAAGACCTTCAGGGCCCCTTATTCTGATTGATTGATTGGTTGGTTGATTGATACACTTTCCAGAGTTTCCACAAAATCCAAATCCAGCAGCAAATACCTTTTTAAGCGCTCCAGAGTTACCGGGCAACCTATTTTTAAAATGTTGCCTGTAGCTTTAATACAGCTGAATTCTTAAGAATGAGCTCATCAGCCCAAGAGAGAATTGGCCTCTCTTTGAAATGCAAAAAGTTTGGGGCGTTTGATATAGATTATCTCTTTTCTTGTCTCTCTCTCTCTCTCTGTCACCAAATCAGCTGTGCTAGCCAGACGGTTTTTCTTAATTTATTCCAAAGTTGAGCCCTTCATAAACCTCAGCGAGGCTTTTAAAATTCCAAAAGGAGAAGGAAACTAGCATCTTGTAAGATAAGGGCACAATGATAGATCAAAGGCAGGTGGGCCTCATCGCAGGAGGAGGGGGAAACACAAGCTGGGGAATCCTATATCAACTTCATTTCCCCTTCTGCTAGTGACTGATAAATAGATCCATTACACTTCCAGGAGATAAAAACAGAATATAACAGAATACGTGAATTGTCCGATCTCTTCTTAAAAACCTCCAGTTTTTTTTTTTTTATTATTATTTGATTTATATGCCGCCCTTCTCCAGAGACTCAGGGCGGCTTACAATGCACTAAGCAATAGCCTTCATACTTTTGTATATTTTTAGAAAGTCATCTTATTGCCCCCACAAACTGGGTCCTCAATTTACCTACCTTAGAAAGGATGGAAGGCTGAGTCAACCTTGAGCCTTGGTGAGATTCGAACCTGCAGTAATTGCAGGCAGCTGGTCTTAATAACAGGGTGCTTTAGACCACTGTATTACCAAGGCTTACAATACACTAAGCAATAGCCTTCATACTTTTGTATATTTTATACAAAGTCAGTTTATTGCCCCCACAAACTGGGTCCTCAATTTACCTACCTTAGAAAGGATGGAAGGCTGAGTCAACCTTGAGCCTTGGCGAGATTTGAACCTGCAGTAATTGCAGGCAGCTGGTCTTAATAACAGGGTGCTTTAGACCACTGTATTACCAAGGCTTACAATGCGTTAAGCAATAGCCTTCATACTTTTGTATATTTTATACAAAGTCAGCTTATTGCCCCCACAAACTGGGTCCTCAATTTACCTACCTTAGAAAGGATGGAAGGCTGAGTCAACCTTGAGCCTGGCGAGATTCGAACCTGCAGTAATTGCAGGCAGCTGGTCTTAATAACCAGCTTAATAACAGGGTGCCTTAGACCACTGTACTACCAAGGCTCTTGTTGTGGGAGCACCCACAATTTCTGGAGGTAAGTCATTCCACTGATGAACTGTTCCGTCAGGAAATTTCTCCTTGGTTCTAGGTTGCTTCTCTCCTTGATTAATTTTCATCCATTGTTTCTTGTCCCCAAATCCCATTCCTGGCTGGCCTCGCCCGCCCCTACCAGGAGTCACCATGCGGCCCATTTTGGATGCAGGTAAGTGCAGAGTGCACGTGGAGGCTCAGAGAGGGCAAAAACAGGCCTAACGGAAGTTCAGAAAGGCCTCCGGAGCCTGGGGAGGTTGTTTTCGCCCTCTCAGAGGCTCAAAGAAAGCCTCCGGAACCCGGGGAGGGCAAAAACACCTCTCTCCCTGCTACGGTACAGGAAGTCAACTAGGCCCCTCCCACCATCGCCATGCCCACCCAGTAAATGGGAAAACAACAATTGCAATGGAAAGGAGAAAGCCAAATGAGATTATACCCTCTTGGATTTACCACACAATGGCGAAAAGGCCAACCTTACCTTTTTGGTCTTCACCGTCGAGACGCAACAATCTCCGTCGTCGTAGTTGCAAAAGGCTCGGTTGTTGACCGGATCGCAATAGTTGTCACCCCCAAAAGGCTGGAAAAGAAGGGAAAAAAAAAAGATGAGGACAGTGTCAATTTGCTCATCAATGAACATTAGGAATCTGCCATCACCACGAAGACCCTGGAGAATGAAAAGCGAGAGAAATGAATGTTTCTAGTGGAAAATCCAGAAGTGTTCAACCACCCAGTTACTCTGCGAAAAGAAGAGCTCAATAAATTTGATAGATTATTATTAATGATTTATTTATTATTGCATTGAATAACCATAGACTTGTGTGTGGGTATGTTGCTCCTTCATTAAGCCTTCCCTATTATCTCTTCTCTCCATTGCTTTTAAGGTTCTCTGCAATTCCATTGCAAACAGACTCAAAGGTAATTTTTCTTCTTCTTGCAATAATAGAATAGAATAGAATTTTTTTTATTGGCCAAGTGTGATTGGACACACAAGGAATTTGTCTTGGTGCATACGCTCTCAGTGTACATAAAAGAAAAGATACATTCGTCAAGAATCATAAGGTACTTTAGACATTTTATTGTTTAAGATCAGGAAGCTCCAAGCTAAGCCACTTCAAGACTTGTGGACTTCAACTCCCAGAATTCCCTAATGGCTGGCTGAGGAATTCTGGGGGTTGAAGTCCCCAAGTCTTTTTTTTTTTTTTTTTTATTGCAAAAGTTTTACAATTACATTTTCACCCCTTTTTTTTTCACCCCCCCACCTCCCTCCCCGAACCCCGTCCTCCCTAACCCTCCCTAACCCTCCCCCCCCAGACTTCCCTATTATGTACTCATAACTAATAACACTGATATATATACCTGAACCCATCCCTCCCCATACATAGTTTTCCCTCTTTGTCTCTTTATATTAAAATATTTCTAATACATTGTTTCAATAAAAGCTATTTGATACTTTCTAATTTGGTATTTGTTCTGAACATATTCTATCCACCTTTTCCATTCCCATTCATAAGTCTCTTGTGAACAATCTTTTAAATATGCTGAAATCTTCGCCATCTCTGCAAAACTAGCCATCTTCGAAGTCCATTCCTCGATAGTAGGCAAAGCTTCATTCTTCCAATATTTACCTATCAACAATCTTGCTGCTGTTATCATATACAATTTTAATTTTGTTTCATCCCGTGTAAAACCTTAACTATGCCCAATAAAAACAATTGTGGAGAAAATTGAATTTTTTTCTTCAAAACATTCTGCATGACCCACCATATTTTTATCCAAAAAGCCTTAACTTTCCTACAGGTCCACCAAACATGATAATACGTAGCATCCAAACATTCACATCTCCAACATTTTGGCTGAACATTAGGGTACATACATGACAACTTTTTAGGATCTAGATGCCATCTATAAAACATTTTATAAAAATTTTCCCTCAAATTCTGCGACTGTGTAAATTTAACATTCTGAACCCAAATTTTTGAAGTCCCCAAGTCTTGAAGTGGCCAAGTTTGCAGACATGTTTGATCATTATCAAAGCTTGCAAGACTAAAGTTTTAAGGTAAAGGTAAAAGTTCCCCTCGCACATATATGCTAGTTGTTCCCGACTCTAGGGGGCGGTGCTCATCTCCGTTTCAAAGCCGAAGAGCCAGCGCTGTCCGAAGACGTCTCCGTGGTCATGTGGCTGGCATGACTCAATGCCAAAGGCGCACGGAACGCTGTTACCTTCCCACCAAAGGGGGGTCCCTATTTTTCTACTTGCATTTCTGACGTGCTTTCGAACTGCTAGGTTGGCAGAAGCTGGGACAAGTCACGGGAGCTCACCCCGTTACGCGGCACTAGGGATTCGAACCGCTGAACTGCCGACCTTTCGATCGACAAGTTCAGTGTCTTAGCCATTGAGCCACCGCGTCCCTTACATGGCAGATGTAGCCCTGGATTTTTAAGCCGACAAATGTTCTCAGTTGAACAAGCTGATATTCTAAGCTCCTCAGCTTGAACTTCCTATGAAATGGGTAGAAGAACATTGTCATATCGGTGGCCTTCAATAGGAAGAAAAGTTTACCTTGGAGTTTTATAGAATACAGAATAACAAAGTTGGAAGGGACCTTGGAGGTCTTCTAGTCCAACCCCCTGCTCAAGCAGGAGACAAGTAACAGGAGCTCACCCCATTACGCGGAACTAGGGATTCGAACTGCTGAACTGCTCTGACCTTTCGATCGACAAGCTCAGCGTCTTAGGCACTGAGCCACCGCGTCCCAGTAAAGTTTGAGGGGACTACAAATGTTGAAACACGTTCTACGATCTCGAGTCTTTTGAGAATAATAAACTTGTGTGTTCTGTAAAATAAAGCAAATCATATTTTTGCCCCATTTCTGCTTGTCCGTTTTCATTCTTGTACAAGTCCATTGCGAGCCTTGGCGGAGAGAAACAAATCCTTTCGCATTTCAACAAAATAAAAGTCTGGTATCTATGGCCAAAACGGAAGGGCGGAAGGATTGATGAACAATCTGTAAATAAGCTAATTTTGGTCAAAACTAGGTACTCATGTCAACACTCCAAAGTGCATTATGTCATCTTTTCCTTTTGCGGGGGAAAGGCTGAATATTCTGCCTTTCGGCCTGGCACAGGGCCAGCGAGGGGATAAGAAAAGAATAGGGCGGATGTAATGCTGCATTCCAATGATGTCGCCTTTTTTTTTTTTTGTGCTGCATTACGTCATCTCTTATTTCTAAGGGAAAAACCTAAGTTTCTAGCCCGGGGGTCAGCAACCTGCAGCTCTGGAGCCGCATGTGGCTCTTTCACCCCTCTGCTGCGGCTCCCTGTCACTCAAAATATGCGTCACAACCGCCAATGTGCGACACCCGCCGGCACGCGATTTATTGAGCTTTTCAACCCCCGGTAGGCCAACCATGGAGAAATCCAAGAAAAGTTTCAGAAGAAAACAGAACGTTTAATTCAACTACATATGCTAGTTTTGTGGATGCTTAAGAAATAGTCAGGCACGGGAAGGGTTTTGTGGCTCCCGGTGTTTTCTTTTCTGTGGGGAAACGGGTCCAAATGGCTCTTTTGAGTGTTTTAAGGTTGCAGACCCCTGTCCTAGCCTATTCACTTGGCTCTGTGCCAGGGGCGATGTCATGCCACGTTCCAATGATGTCGTCTTTTTGTGCATTACGTCGTCTCTTTATTTCTAGGGAGAACCTAGAAATCAGGTGTGCTCCTGCCTGCCTTCTAAAGTTCCCAGGGGCTGCCTGGTGGTCCAGAACCCCCAGTCTGATTTCTAGGGTGCAGGGCGACATCATCATGCTTTCCCCATTGCCTTGCCTTGCCTTCCCCCCCACCCCAGGTAGACCAGGTAGGTAGCCTGCCTCCTGCCTCCTGCCTGTGTCACCCAGTGACCAGGGAAAGAAAGGGACGATTTAATGCCACATTCCAATGATGTCATCTTTTTTGTGCATTACGTCATCTCTTTTATTTCTAGGGAAAACTTCAGTCTCTGGCATTTTCACTTGGCTTTGTGCCAGGGGTGATGTCATGCCCCATTTCAATGATGTCATCTTTCTGGTGCATTACGTCATCTCTTCATTTCTAGGGAAAACTTAACTACGCACAGTCACTCAGGCACTAGTCACTTCCCGCCTGGACTACTGCAATGCTCTCTACATGGGGCTCCCCCTGGGGTGCACCCGGAGGCTCCAGCTGGTCCAGAACGCGGCCGCGCAGGGGATTATGGGGGCGACGAGGCGCTCCCATGTGACACCTCTCCTGCGCGAGCTGCACTGGCTCCCGGTGGTCTTCCGGGTGCGCTTCAAGGTGTTGGTGACCACCTTTAAAGCGCTCCATGGCTTAGAGCCGGGGTACTTACGAGACCGCCTTCTGCCACCAATAGCCTCCCACCGGCCAGCACGCTCGCACAGAGTGGGCCTCCTCAGGGTGCCGTCCGCCAGACAATGTCCACCCTCTGGAACAACCTTCCCCCAGAGTTACGTATAATAACAGACCTCCGGATTTTTCGTCGGGCCCTGAAAACTTATTTATTTCAACTAGCTGGGCTGGCTTGAGCTAAATTTTAAATTGATTTTAAATTGGGTTGTTTTAATTACGGCCAAAATATTTAATTATTTTAATACTGTTTTTAAATTTTGTATGCTCTGTTTTTACTTAGGCTGTGCACCGCCCTGAGTCCTATTTGGAGAAGGGCGGTATAGAAATTCAATTAATAAATAAATAATAATTAATAAACTTTCTAGCCTATTCACTTGGCTCCGTGCCAGGGGCGATGTCACGCCACATTCCAACGATGTTGTCTCTGTTGTGCATTACGTCATCTCTTGTTTCTAAAGGAAAACCTTTCTAGCCTATTCACTTGGCTTGGTGCCAGCCTGCAACCAAGGAAAGAAAGCAATGATGTAATTCTGTATTCCAATGGTGTTGTCCGCGAAGTGCGTTATGTCGTCTTTTCTTTCGGGGGAAACCCTGAATTTTCTGCCTTTTTTTTTTTTTTTGGCCTGGCACAGTGCCAGCTAGGCGCTGAGAAATAAACCAGGGCGACGTAATGCTGCATTCTAATGATGTTGCCCCCAAAGTCCACAAAATAACCAAGTTCTCATTAGGACGAGCCCTACCTTTTCCCTTCCTGCTTCTTCCTAGTCCTGGCAGTTGTGCAGTTGGAACATTTATGGCAATGTTCCTTCGTTGTGATAATGTCACCCCAATGTGCACAATGTTGCCATCTCCTGCCTTGGACAGAGCCCTGCCTTTTGCCTCCCTGGTGCTCCTGATGTTAGGCAACCTGCCATCTTTGCAGAAAAAATGGTGGGGGGATGTCATCAGAGAATCCGATGCTGTTTTCCCAAATGTGCATGACATCGCTGTCTCCTCTCCTGGACAGAGCTTTGTGGTTGCCTCCCTCTCGTTCCTGGACCTTGTGGGTGTCCTCGCTTTGCAGAGCAAACCTGGGTATTATATCACCTCAACATCGGATGACGTCACCACTATGTGCATGACATGCCTTGCTCCTCTCTTTCATAGACCCCCTGCAGTTTGTCTCCATTGTGCTCCCAAAAATTGGGGGGAGGGGGGGGCGCTGCCTGCTCTGTAGAAAAACCCCATAACAAAGAGTCCCAAACTTGCTCTTCCAAAAAGGCAACTGGACTTCCTTGATTTCTTTCCCCTTGGAAACGTTTGGCTTCTCATCCAAAGAAACTTCTTCCGTTCGGAACTGAACGAAAGAAGCTTGATGGATGAGAAGCAACTAAATGTTTTCAACGGGAGTGGGGGGGAAACACCCAAGAAAATCCAGTTGCCTTTTGAGAAAGCACCTTTGGGACATCCATAACCTGGATGGATTGCAAATCTCACCAGACCCCGTAACAAGAGCTTCTACTTGTGGATGAGACATAGGCAAAGCTCCTTGAACGACAAAGCTCCGCAATGACCTTGAGTTAAGAAGGGTTGACTCTTAGAATAAACTCCTTCGTAATAAATGCAATTTGATGCTGGAATCGATGCCTCGAGAAGCGATTGGGTTTCTGTTTCAAAGGCAGAGAGTGAATTGTTCTCTACTGGCAAGGTTTTAGGCCTGGATTTCCCTCCCTTGAGTGAAGGTGGGATGAACAGGATCCCTCTTGGTGGGCATGGCAGGAGAAGGTTACTGCAAAATCCCCATTTCCTCCCAATCAGCTGGGACTCGGGAGGCAGAGAATAGATGGGGGTGGGGCCAGTCAGAATTTTTACTACCGGTTCTCCAAACTACTCAAAATTTCTGCTACCGGTTCTCCAGAACTGGTCAGAACCTGCTGGAACCACCTCTAATCTCTTCCCTTTTTTCTCTTCACCCAAGATATTCAAGGCACGTGATCCTGTCCGCCATTAAAACCAACTTTCCAAGCAGCCACCATATTTCTGGTGTCTTTCTTCCCCACTTGGAAGAATTTTCTTCCAACAGCTCCCTTTTCTGCAGTCCTTTTCAATGGGATAATTGTCCCTCTACCTTTCTCCGATGTTTTTAAGGAAGCTTATCTCATCCTCTCCCGAAAAAACCTCCCCAAATAACCCTTCCTTCTAACAGTTTTAAACCGAGCACGTGCCAGAACCCTTTCTCCAAAGGATGGGTAGGGTGAGAAAAAGATACTTGATTAAATCTTGCCGGGGGGGGAAAAATTGTATGAAACCCAGAGCTATCCACACACACGTATCCCTCAACCCAAGCAAGCTATTTTTGAGGAGATGAGTTAAGTGCAAAACGTAAACACCGCTCTATTAATGGCACGGTGAGACAATTTTTAATCATAGGCCTGAAATACCTTCCTTCTTGCCTGCTGTGTTAAGAAAACAAAATTAAAAACAAAAACTTCCACTTTTTTTTTTTCCTGTGTGTAGAAAGCCTTCGCTCTTCAGGAGAGACGAAAACTGGTGGGTAATTTTTAACTCGAGGAAAAAGTGTGAAAAAGCATGATGTAAGTGTAAGCAGGAAGCTCGGAAGTGAGAAGAGATGATGATGATGATAATAATAATATTTTTTTAATAAAAAGAAAGTGAGAGAGGGGAGAAACATTATGGGATTAAATATTTGGAGCAGGCACCTTCGTCTGAGGCTTAGATTTGACTTGGGACTACACAAGACGATAAATGGAACACACACAAAAAAATAACCCAACTTGAATTAGTCTTAATTCCAAAAAGTTAATAGACTAATTCAAGTGTCTTTTTTTAACAAATCTATCCCTTTTGCATAATACTTTTTTTTTTTTAAAGCTAGCCATTTCAGAAGAAGGTGCTGGGATCAGTCTACGCTCTTCATTTTGAAGCAAAAGTTTTGCACGTATCTCTTCAAAGTTTCTTCTATTACAACATGTAGATCTGAATTTTCTAAACAAATTAAAAGTATGGGTTGAAGGTAAAAAGCCTTACTCAAGTCCCTCTTGACCCCAGAGAAGCTCTTAATATGGAATTGGTTTTTCACCGTCATTTTTGAGGATCTCTCCCTCTCTCTCCCTCTCTCCCTCCCTCTCTCTCTCTGTCTGTCTCTCTCTCCCTCCCTCTCTCTTCCTCTCCCTCTCTCTCCCTCTCCCTCTCTCTCTCTGTCTCTCTCCCTCTCTCTCCCTCTCCCTCTCTCCTTCTTCCTCTCTCTCCTTCTCTCTCTGTTTCTCTTTCTCTTTCTCTCTCCCTCTCTCTCTCTCTCTTTCTTTCTCTCCTCTCCCTCTCTCATTCGCTCTCCCTCTCCCTCTCTCTCTGTCTCTGTCTCTCTTTCTTTTTCTCTCCCTCCCTCTCTTTCTCTCTCTCTCCCTCTCTCTCTGTCTCTCTCTTTTTCTTTCTCCCTCTCCCTCCCTCCCTCTCTCCCCTTCTCTCTCTCTCTCTCTCTCTCTGTGTTTCTCTCTCTCTCTCTCCCTCCCTCCCTCTCTGTCTGTCTGTCTGTCTCTTTTTCTCTCTCTTTTACATCCCAGCCTAGTTTACTTTCCTGAAATTTGCCCCATCCAAACACAAACCAGGTTTGATCCTGGCTTTACTTTGGGAGATTAGAACAGGTCAGCAAGGTTTTGCTACTTACCGGAATTGAGGGAAAGATTTACAATGGAACTAGCTTGTTCGCTGTTAAAGCATTTTTGTTTGAAGTTGGCAAAAACAAACGAAGAATAACAAGTGTATGGAATGACTCCACCCCCCCCAAAGCCACCATCATAGATGATGGTGGCAAAAGTGGGGAACGATGGAGCTGACAGAGTTGAGGAAAGAGAGAGAAGATATGTAGTAAGTGTAGTGTAAGTGTAGTAACTAATCTTGCGAAGCTTCTTCTCCGGTAATATTGTACTGCAAATTAGGGCATACAAAACCTTTGCTAGACCAATTCGTGAATACAGCTCATCTGCCTGGAACCTACATATCGGACATCAATACGCTTGAACAACTTCAGAGGTATTTCACGAGAAGAGTCCTCCACTCCTCTGCTTGCAACAAAATATCTTATGCCACCAGGCTTGAAATCTTGGGCTTAGACAACTTAGAAGTACGCCGCCTTCCGTCTGACCTAAGCATAGTGCATAAAATTATCTGCCACAATGTCCTACCTGTCAATGACTACTCCAGCTTCAACCGCAACAATACACGAGCAAATAATACATACAAACTCAAGTTAAACCGCTCCAAACTCGATTGCAGAAAATACGACTTCAGCAACAGAGTGGTCAATGCCTGGAATGCACTACCTGACTCTGTGGTTTCCTCCCCAAACCCCCAAAATTTTAACCTTAAACTGTCTACTGTTGATCTCACCCCATTCCTAAGAGGTCTGTAAGGGACGTGAATAAGCACACCAGCGTGCCTTCCGTCCCTGTCCTACTGTCCCCATTTATTCGTATCCTTATCCTGTATTCATAATCATGTTTCTACTTATTTCTGTTATCTTATACGTATTTGACAAATAAATACAGTGGTCTAAAGCACCCTGTTATTAAGATCAGCTGCCTGCAATTACTGCAGGTTCAAATCTCACCAGGCTCAAGGTTGACTCAGCCTTCCATCCTTTCTAAGGTAGGTAAATTGAGGAGCCAGTTTGTGGGGGCAATAAGCTGACTTTGTATAAATATACAAAAGGATGAAGGCTATTGCTTAGCGCATTGTAAGCCGCCCTGAGTCTCCGGAGAAGGGCGGCATATAAATCAAATTAAAAAATAAATAAATAAATAAATAAATAAATAAATAAATAAATAAATAAATAAATAAATAAAAAAAAAAAATAAAGACAGCTGGAACGGCCTATTACACGCGCAATGGCCAAATTGATTAATGGAATATAAAGGCAGAGATCTCTTCAATGGTAGTTTAATACTCAGCCGATGGCTGACGAAAGCTTAGTAGAATTAAAAAAATAATTATTATTACTTTAAAATTTTAAGTTCCAGAGCTCGCAGAATGTCTGCTTCTTCCTTTACTAATATACCAGGAACTCGTATTTTTAGAATAGCTTGTAATAAATAAAAATAAATGAATACATAAAAATAAGGGAAAAAGCACAAGAGAACGGGACCGGCTTACTCACCTCACATCCTTTGATGCAGTGAATCAACGCAGGGTGAGGATACCACTTAAGTTCTCCTGTGCAGACCACTTTCTAGAAGATTGAATGGAAGAAGGAACATATGAAGAGACAAGGAACATCAGCCTAAAGCAAAGTAGCACGTTCTCTTGGCCCAGGTCTAAATCTTCAGATGGTCCTTCCCAGTGGTGAAATCTAAAATTTGTTATTACCGGTTCTGTGGGCGTGGCTTGGGGGGTAATGTGACTGGGTGGGTGTGGCCAATATTTTTTATTTTTTTTACTTTTAAAACCATTTTTTCTACAACCCCTTCGGCGAAGAGGTCGTAAAAAAATGCTTTCAAAAGGCTCTGATGATCCCAGCTGAGTTGCCTGATCATCAGAGGCTTTTTTTCCTTTTAAATGCCTCTGACGATCCCAGCTGAGTTGCCTGATCATCAGAGGCTTTTTTTTCTTTTAAATGCCTCTGACAATCCAAGCTGAGTTGCCTGATCATCAGAGGCTCTTTTTCTTTTAAATGCCTCTGACGATCCCAGCTGAGTTGCCTGATCGTCAGAGGCTTTTTTTCTTTTAAATGCCTCTGACGATCCCAGCTGAGTTGCCTGATCGTCAGAAGCTTTTTTTTCTTTTAAATGCCTCTGACGATCCAAGCTGAGTTGTCTGATCGTCAGAGGCTTTTTTTTCTTTTAAATGCCTCTGACGATCCAAGCTGAGTTGCCTGATCATCAGAGGCTTTTTTTCTTTTAAATGCCTCTGACGATCCCAGCTGAGTTGCTTGATCGTCAGAAGCTTTTTTTTCTTTTAAATGCCTCTGACGATCCCAGCTGAGTTGCCTGATCGTCAGAAGCTTTTTTTTCTTTTAAATGCCTCTGACGATCCAAGCTGAGTTGTCTGATCGTCAGAGGCTTTTTTTTCTTTTAAATGCCTCTGACGATCCAAGCTGAGTTGCCTGATCATCAGAGGCTTTTTTTCTTTTAAATGCCTCTGACGATCCCAGCTGAGTTGCCTGATCGTCAGAAGCTTTTTTTTCTTTTAAATGCCTCTGACGATCCCAGCTGAGTTGCCTGATCATCAGAGGCTTTTTTTTCTTTTAAATGCCTCTGACAATCCAAGCTGAGTTGCCTGATCATCAGAGGCTTTTTTTCTTTTAAATGCCTCTGACGATCCCAGCTGAGTTGCCTGATCGTCAGAAGCTTTTTTTTCTTTAAATGCCTCTGACGATCCAAGCTGAGTTGTCTGATCATCAGAGGCTTTTTTTTCTTTTAAATGCCTCTGACGATCCAAGCTGAGTTGCCTGATCATCAGAGGCTTTTTTTCTTTTAAATGCCTCTGACGATCCCAGCTGAGTTGCTTGATTGTCAGAAGCTTTTTTTTTCTTTTAAATGCCTCTGACGATCCCAACTGAGTTGTCTGATCGTCAGAGGCCTTTTTTTCTTTTAAATGCCTCTGACGATCCAAGCTGAGTTGCCTGATCGTCAGAGGCTTTTTTTCTTTTAAATGCCTCTGACGATCCAACTGAGTTGCCTGATCGTCAGAGGTTTTTTTTTCTTTTAAATGCCTCTGATGATCCAAGCTGAGTTGCCTGATCATCAGAGGCTTTTTTTTTCTTTAAATGCCTCTGACGATCAGGCAACTCAGCTTGGATCGTCAGAGGCATTTAAAAGAAAAAAAGCCTCTGATGATTGCGTGGCTCAGCTGAGCATGGGGGGGAGGGCAGGGATTTTTGCTACAGGTTCGCTGAACCACCCGCCTCCATCGCTACCGGATCGGGTGATCCGGTCTGAACCGGGAGCTTTTCACCCCTGCTCCTTCCTTTAAAATCAAATGTCATCTCCCCGTAGGTTTGATGCATTTCAGGACCTGGAATTCCTCCAAGTATTTACAAGAACGGTTAAGACACCCAACGGTTGCAATAACAGAAAACTCAAGATTAAAATAATATTTAAGGTTCCACCATGGTTGATATTTCATTTGCAAGAGGGAGAGGAGCCTCTGCGGTGGAAAATAGAGACAGGCAAAAGAAGAGGGGTGGGAAATTTTGGTGATGAGGTCAAGATTTTTTCCCCCCTTCCTACTATTAGCACAAAGAAGGGTTTTCTTAAAGTGGTCATTTACGTACATAAACACTTTAGGAATAGGGCAATGGATATTTACGTACGTAGAGGACCTCTGTAAGAAAAAGTGTAGGAAATATTAAGCTAAAGAAACACATGAGGACTGGTTACAGGAATTTGGTATGTCTGGTTTAATGGAGGGGAAAGGACTACATTGGATCCTAAATAAATTTAGCTGACTTCCAATATTTGAGGGGCTGTCACAAAGAAGAGGGAGTCAACCTATTCTCCAAAGCACCTGAGGGCAGGACAAAAAGCAACGGATGGAAACTAATCAAGGAGAGAAGCAACCTAGAACTAAGGAGGAATTTTGTGACGTTAATTAGAACAATTAACCAGGAGGAATCGAAGTTGCCTCCAGAAGTTATGGGTGCTCCACCATTGGAGGGTTTTGAGAAGAGATTGGACAGCCATTTGTCTGAAATGGTATAATTTTATGATGTTTGTGTGTCTATATTTTTCTTGACTGTACACCGTCTTGAGTCCTACGGGAGAAAGGCGGTATAGAAATATAATAAATAAATAAATAAATAAATAAATAAATAAATAAATATAGGGGCTCTTGCTTAAGCTGGGGGTTGGACTAGAAGACCAAGGTCCCTTCCAACTCTGTTATTCTGAAGACCTGAGCTAGGGAAAGGAGGCGTAGCTAAAACTAATGAACATATTATTTTTTTCCCCCTGCATGGGGGAAAATTATTACACTGATACCTTTCGGTGCTGGCCATCGCTGTAACTATCTCTTACCTCCCTGGTTTTGGTGAGAGTTATCGGCCATATCGGCCTGCTTTCCAATGGATGCAAAGAAGAGATTGATTCAGCTGTTTAATTATAGCGCCATTTATTTATTTATTCCCTCCCCCTCCTTTTCCGTGAAAGACGCAGAGAACTTTAGAAGAGGAGATGGCGAGAGACAGCCGGGAGCCATAATTTAGCTTTCCCTGGCTTTTATTTGAGGTCTAACGCTACAGGAAAACCTCGTTGTGTATGTGTGGTTTTTTTTTTTTTAAGTGTTGCTCATCGGAGGCTGTTTAGATCGCTTGTGTGGAGCTGTGGATCTTTCCGAAGGGAAAGGGGTTTTCCTGTGTGACTCAGGGTCCCCAAATTGTCCCCAAACAATCCCCCCAATTGTTCCACCTGTCTTAAAACAGGCCTGGTTTGTGTGAAGGGAAGGATGGACAGCAGTAGCTAAGAGGTGAAGGGCAGCGTTTTGACAATCCCATGATCAGGGAAATTCCTATTGGGGGAAAAGAAAAGCTGGTTTTCCCAGCCAACGGGAAAGTCATGGTGGGGAAACATTTCTTGGGGTTTTCTTTGGCTTGTCTGCAGCTCGACTTATTTCGACATTAGGATATTGGATTTTATTTTTAAAGCCTTTGGAAATAAACAGGAGGAGGCTGCAACGATGGGCAAACAGGTGAGAGCTGTAGTTGGTGTTTGGAAACCAGGAGGTAAATCAGCTAGGATTGTAAGTTACAGTCATGGCCAAAATTGTAGAAATCTTTTGGGGTAAAAGTGTATTTTCTAAAACTAGAAAATAATAACGCCACTTTTTTTGGGGGGGGATTAGTACCATAAAATTATGTATCAATGGAAAGATAGTTTAATCAAGAATGCAATGCAATAACTTTTAGGAAGGATTTGCTATTAGAATAGCAGTTGCAGTATAAAGCAGAAAAATGAAACACGTGGAAAAAACGAGATTATACAAAAATGATTCCCCATGTCGGTTAATATTTAGTTGGGTAACCTTTAGCGTGAATTACGGCCTTACAATGTCTTCCCATGGAGTGAACCAAGTCTTTTAGCTCTGCGGCTGTTATCATGGGAAACCAAGATTGAAGGATGGCTTCTATTAACTGGGTTTTATTGCTGGGTCGCTTCTGACTAACAAGATAACATAGATTTTCACTTGGGTGAAGGTCTGGGCTATTCCCAGTCCATTCCAGCAGTGGAATAGGATTATCTTGAAACTCCAAAAAAAAAAAAGTAGTATTATTAGCCATCAAACCTCAAAAACACACTTTTCCCCAAAGGTTTCCACAATTTTGGCCACTATTGTAACATCTCCCCATGTGGTCAAAAAAACCCCAAGGAACTGCCTAAATCATACTTCCAATTGGAAAGTGTGGTTTCTCACTAAAGCGGCTCTCGTTTCCTGACAGATCCGTGTGATACCGTCTTCCCATTGACAACTCCCACACAGTTGTCTTGAATCTTTCCTCTGTAGCATCTCGATTTTGAGCCAGGGGTGAAATCCAGCAGGTTCTGGAGAACTGGTAGCGGAAATTTTGAGCAGTTCGAAGAACCGGCAAATACCACCTCTGGCTGGTCCCCCGAGTGGGGAGGGAATGGAGATTTTGCAGTATCCTTCCCCTGCCATGCCCACCAAGCCACGCCCACAGAACCGGTAGTAAAAAAATTGGAATTTCACCACTGCTTTGAGCATAAAATCTTTCTTAAAAGGCCAGGTGGACAGATGGCTTTTCTTTCTGTATGAGTTATCCCGAATAGGGTTTGGATTCATTGTTTGATCACAGAAGGAATATTCGGGAGGGTTGTAAAATTTAGATGTTTGGGGAGGGTGGATTGGAGACAAGACAGGAGTCAAAAACAGAAGGAGTGAGGGTATCATTTGAGTGGTCCTTGGTGCTCTCTTGAGCTTCGTCGCTTTCTTGCAGACATTTTAGGTGACAAACTAGGTAACATCATCAGTGCTAGAAGGGAGTGGGTTTACACAGAGGAGGGGGAGGGGGAGGAGGAGGAGGAGGAGGAGGAGGAGGAGGAGGAGGAGGAGAACTGTGGAGTCGTTGGTGCTCTCTGAGCTTGGTTGTTTTCTTGCAGACATTTCATTACTCAATTAGGTAACATCATCAGTGCTGGAAGGGAATGGGGTTTGTGGAGAGGAGGAGAGGAAAGGGGAGGAGGAGGAGGAGGAGGAGAAGGAGGAGGAGGAGGAGGAGGAGGAGGAGGAGGAGAACTGTGGAGTCCTTGGTGCTCTCTAAGCTTGGTTGTTTTCTTGCAGAAGTTTCATTACCGAAGTAGATAACATCAACAGTGTTAGAAAGGAGGGAGCTTGCAGAGAGGAGGAGGAGGAGGAGGAGGAGGAGGAGGAGGAGGAGGAGGAGGAGGAGGAGGAGGAGGAGGAGGAGGAGGAGGAGGAGGAGGAGAAGGAGAAGGAGGACCGTGGGGCCCTTGATGCTCTCTGAGCTTGGTTGTCTTCTTGCAAACACTTCATTACCCAAGTAGTCTAACACTGATGTTGTTACCTACTTTGGGTAATGAAACATCTGCCAGAAAACAACAAGAAGCTCAGAGAGCATCAAGAACCCCTCATTTCAACCCTAAACTACAAATATTCTCCTTCGTAAGTATATTATTATTATTATTATTATTATTATTATTATTATTATTATTTAATCTTTAGTGAGATTCACAGCCTTTGCGGCTGGTTAATAGCTCAGCAGCTGGAGTCCTAACCAAGGACCTAGGAACTGTTCAGGTATCGTCGGAGGATGTCAGCTGTTCCGAGTAAGGTGGTTTTTTATAGAGTCAAAATGTTCAAGTCCGGCAAATTTAGAATTTCTAAATAGCGGGGTAGCCCTTTGGGTATTGCTCTGAGGGCTCCAATTACAATCGGGACAACACACGATTTCTATTATTATTATTATTATTATTATTATTATTATTATTATTATTATTATTATTATTATTATTATTTATTTTGGCCAACAGCTCCTCCAGATATCTTGGACAATAACGCCTTAATTAGTTCCAACCAGCATGGTCAGGATCTCTGAAAGTTGCAATCCCAAATCCTCTGAAAATTTCTGGCAAGCTTTCAACCTCTCTACGGCGCGACCCATTTGTGCTCCTGATCACAAATAAACAAAGGTCATTTTTTTCTAGCTGCAGAAACCCCTCCCTCTTTGGTGCCTTCTCTGGGGCATCCTCTCTCTCTCCCTTCCCCCTCCCTTTTCCTTCTTGCCATTGTCTAAAGGTCTTGGCTAAGCTGCCATCCCTTGAACTGTCGTGGCCACGGTGGCCTCAGAGATGCCCGTTTGCAGACTCAGGGGGTTGGCCAGGACAAATAGAGAAGACACGGACACTGGACAAACAAGGTCATGGGGCAGCCGAGGTCAAAGAACACCACAAGCCACAGGGAGACTGCAGCGTGGGTGACAAACATCCCATCCATTCAGCAAAGGCTTTCCCCTCCCCATCCTGTAATTTTATCCCGCAGCATCTCTCTAAATGGCTTTTCTGAACAATGGAGTTATCAAATTCATTTGTCACGTCGCCTAACCTTTCTGTATGTTCAGCAAACCTCTCGTAATAAAAGCTATTTTCTCTCTCTTTCTCTCTCTCTCTCTCTCTCTTTCTCCCTCTCTCTCTCTTCCTCTCTCCCGCTCTCTCTCTCTCTCTTTTTTTTGTATTCTGGATGATATCATCCTCTCCCTGGCTTCCCCCCCTCCCTCCAGATCCTGCTTGCTTTCTCTTTCCATTTTTCCCTTTCGTTTTTATTACCAGTTATTTTTCCCCCCCCCCATTCTTTCCAGCTATCTAATGAGACCTCCAGGGATATGCAGGTATAAAACGTGTTATGGTTCCTTCTAAAAGCCACCGTCAATAAAGGACAATGGCAGGTGGGGAGGAAGGGAGGGAGGGAGGGAGGGAAGGAGGGAGGGAGGGAGGGAGGAAGGAAGGAAGGAAGGAAGGAAGGAAGGAAGGAAGGAAGGAAGGAAGGAAGAAGGGAAGGGGAAAGGGATGAAGGGATGAAGGGGAGGGAGGGAGGGAGGGAGGAAGGAAGGAAGGAAGGAAGAAGGGAAGGGGAAAGGGAAAGGGATGAAGGGATGAAGGGAAGGGAGGGAGGGAGGAAGGAAGGAAGGAAGGAAGGAAGAAGGGAAGGGGAAAGGGAGGAAGGGATGAAGGGGAGGGAGGGAGGAAAAGGAAGGAAAGAAGAAGATAAGGAAGAAAGGAAGCAAACAAGAAAGGAAGGAAAAATGAGAAAGAATGTAAGGGGAAAGGCATGACAGAAGAGGGAGGGATGGAAAGAAAGAGGGAAGGAAGGAAGAAGAAAAGAGAAGGGAGAGAAAGGGAAAAGGATGAAGGGTTGAAGGGAGGGAGGGTGGGAAGGAAAGAGGGAGGGAGGGAAGGAAGGAGGGGGAAGGAAGGGAGATAGAAAGTATGAAAGAAAGGAAGGAAGGAGATAGAAGGGGAAGGAAGGAAGGAAAGAAAGAGGGAGGTAAAGAAGGAAGGAAGGAAGGAAAAAGGGAGGGAGGGAAGGAAGGAAGGGAGATAGAAGGGGAAGGAAGGAAAGAGAGAGGGAGGGAAGGAAGGAGATAGAAGGGGAAGGAAGGAAGGAAAGAAAGAGGGTGGTAAAGAAGGAAGAAAGGAAAGAAGGAAAGAGGGAAGGACAGAGGGAGGGAAGGAAGGAAGGGAGATAGAAAGTATGAAAGGAAAGGAAGGAAGGAGAAGGGGAAGGAAGGAAGGAAGGAAAGAAAGAGGTAAAGAAGGAAGGAAGGAGAAAAGAGAAGGGAGGGAAGGGGAAGAGGGAGAGGGAGAGGGAGGAAAGAAGAAAGAAAGGGTTGAGAGGGAAGGACTTACGGCGTTGAGGAGCAATAAAACCCATTGATGAGAACACTACTTTTTCTCTATTTTTGCCAACCTGTGTTTGTACCTTTTTTTAAATATATATACTCTTACCTTTACTCGCGGAGGTTTCATCCAGTGTTGAATGTCCTGCAATGTTTCATTGGCAGGTAACAGGATGGGCTCAGTGTGATGTTCCGGGCATAAGATGGTGCATTCAGCTCCTTGAAAGGATTAAAAAAAAAGAGAGAAAGAGGAAAAGCAATACCTTCATATCGCACGTATTTCTGCTCAACTAGGATTAAAAAAAAACAAACAATAACAACAACAATATCGGCTCACACATACTACGCTGGCACTTACACACTCCTTGAGGTTAATACCCTCGGCAGCATCTATTCTGCAAGCTGCCTACTATTTTAATTGGCCCCCGAATATTGTTATTGTGGATACATAAAACAGACGGTTTTATAGCCTCCGGTTACAGATTTCAACACAGCAGTAAAAACCTGTGGCTAGCTCAGAAGGCAGAGCTGCTAATTCAAAAGCAGATCTAACAGATCGATTTGCCTGATTCCGTAATTCAGAAGGTGATTCTATGCTCAGGCTAAACTGGGAAGGAGATAAAATCCTGAATATAAGCTAGTTAGGGAACAAAGGAGACCAACAGGAGGGATTAAATCAGGAGGGAAATCCAGCAGGTTCTGGAGAACCGGTAGCGGAAATTTTGAGTAGTCTGTAGAACCGGCAAATACCACCTCTGGCTGGTCCCAGAGTGGGGTGGGAATGGGGATTTTGCAATATCCTTCCCCCAGGAGTGGGGAGGGAATGGGGATTTTGCAGTATCCTTCCCTTGCCATGCCTACCAAGCCACGCCCACCAAGCCACACCACGCCCACCAAGCTGGCTTAATTTTTTTTTTAAATTTGATTTATATGCCGCCTTTCTCCGGAGACTCAGGGCGGCTAACAATGCGCTAAGCAATAGCCTTCATCCTTTTGTATATTTATACAAAGTCAGCTTATTGCCCCCACAACTGGGTCCTCAATTTACCTACCTTAGAAAGGATGGAAGGCTGAGTCGACCTTGAGCCTGGGGAGAATTGAACCTGCAGTAATTGCAGGCAGCTGGTCTTAATAACAGAGTGCTTTAGACCACTGTACTACCAAGGCTCTTTCTCTAATGAAGGATTAAATTGTCTAATGAAGGTCTAACTTTACGGATTAAATCTGCAAGATTCAGAGATGGTCTATCTCCACAGACAAAGAACGGGTTTCCAATACAACACAACACAAGTTGGGACAATGGTGTCAGCAATAGGATTAACTTGTAGGCATCTGAACCAACCTCAGGGCTCCGTCCACCAGTAGCAACTTGCAGCTTCACTGACAGGAGAACCAAGACAGGAGGACAAGACAGGAGGACCAAGAAGTCAACTGGACCATACCTAAGTTCCAGTATCTAAGGAGCTGCCCCAAAGATGAAGAGGTCAACCTATTCTACAAAGCATCTGAAGGCAGGAGCAATGGATGGAAACTTATCAGAACTAAGGAGAAATTTCCTAATGGTTAGAACAATTCATCAGTGGAACGACTTGCCTCCAGAAGTGGTAAGTGCTCCATCACTGGAAGTTTTTAAGAAGAGATTGGATAACCATTTGTCTGAAGTGGTGTAGGGTTTCCTGCCTGAGCAGGGGGTTGGATTAGAAGACCTCCAAGGTCCCTTCCAAATCTGTTATTCTGTTAACACTTATCTGGCTCCCAGAAAATTAGCCTGCATAGAGAAACCTCAAAAACACGGCATTCTAAATTCTAATTTTTTTTTTTAAAAAAAAATCCAGAAATAAGATGGATACTATCAAGGAACTGGCAAGCATCATCTGCAAGAAAATGTGGGCTTGGTCTACGTATAACCACTGCAAGCAAAGTTTTTCCTTGAGGAAAAACTAAGGAGAAGGATCCAGGAGCTAAAGCATTTCAGTTTCTAACAGTCCACCTAGAGTCATCTCGTAGGGAAGATGGAGGGCATGGAAATTTCATAAATAACTAAAATAAATCAACAGCATCCTTTTGAGGAAAGGCTCCGATCCATCTATTCCTCCCAGTTTAAGTTACTTCCTTTGTAGGACCTGTCCAGGGTTCTGAAGTGAAGAAGACTCTCAGTCCTTAAACATTCCGTTTTGTTCTCCGGACACAAAAGAGTCAATACGCTGAATAAAATATCCCATTGTTAAATAACAGCAGAACCTGTAGTGGGATTCAGCCGGTTCGCACCACTTCGGGAGAACCGGTTGTTAACTTTCTGAGCGGTTTGGCAAACTGGTTGTTGGAAGAAATCATTAGGGCAGAGGACCGGTTTGTTAAATTACTTGAATCCCACCACGAGCAGAATGTGGGTTTTTTTTTTTAAAGAAATTACTTTTAAAAACGAGGTTTTGTTCCTTTCCAAATCTGCAGCCCAAAAGGTTGTACGCCAACAGAGAGGTCTCCAACCTTGGCAATTTTTAAGACTTGTGGACTTCAACTCTCAGAATTACTCAGCCAGCAAAGCTGGGATTCTGGGAGTTGAGGTCCACAAGTCTTAAAAGTTGCTAAGATTGGAGACCACTGCACTAACGGACAAAAAGCTTAATTCTTAAATCAGGGAGAGAAGTCAAGTCGGTGGCTGCAGATGGAATTAGAGGAGGGGAGGTCTCATTCATCACGGCAGAGATGCTGGCCACCAGTTTATTCCAGTTAATCTGCAGGGATCCTGACTTTCTTTTATTAAAATAATCCCCGAGTGTAACGAATCAGAGATTGAAGACTAGATCCCTTGAGCCTCGCTTCCTCTAGAAAAATGCCTCTTAGAACCCCACGGGTACAGATAGTCCTCATCTTACGATGGCAACGGAGCCCAAAATTGAGGTTGCAAAGTGAGAAATTTGTTAAGTGAGTTAGGCCCCATTATGACTATAACCATGTTGCTTGTATCTTTCAATTATCTTGTTTTTATTTGTTTCCTAGTACGATTTGATAGCTTATTAGTAACCTTGACTATCACTAAGTGTTGTATCATTTTATTCTTGATGAACGTATTTTATTCTCCTTATGTACACTGAGAGCGTATGCACCAAAGACAAATTCCTTGTGTGTCCAATCACACTTGGCCAATAAAGAATTCTATTCTATTCTATTCTATTCTATTCTATTCTATTCTATTCTATTCTATTCTATTCTTCTATTGCATTCCATTCCATTCCATTCCATTCCATTCCATTCCATTGCATTGCATTCCATTCTCTATTCTATTCTATTCTATTCTATTCTATTCTATTCTATTCTATTCTATTCTATTCTATTCTATTCTTCTATTCCATTCCATTCCATTCCATTCCATTCCATTCCATTCCATTCCATTGCATTGCATTCCATTGCATTCCATTCCATTCCCTATTCTATTCTATTCTATTCTATTCTATTCTATTCTATTCTATTCTATTCTATTCTATTCTATTCTTCTATTGCATTCCATTCCATTCCATTCCATTCCATTCCCTATTCTATTCCATTCCATTCCCTATTCTATTCTATTCTATTCTATTCTATTCTATTCTATTCTATTCTATTCTATTGCATTGCATTGCATTGCATTGCATTGCATTCCATTCCATTCCATTCCATTCCATTCCGTTCCCTACTCTACTCTACTCTACTCTACTCTACTCTACTCTACTCTACTCTACTCTACTCTACTCTACTCTACTCTACTCCACTCCACTCCACTCCACTCCACTCCACTCCACTCCACTCTCCACTCCACTCCACTCCACTCCATTCCATTTATGTACTCTCAGTGTACATAAAAGAAAAGATACGTTCATCAAGAATCATAAGGTACAACACTTAATGATAATCATAGGGTACAGAAGGGACCATGGTTGGAGGAAAAAAACCACAGATAGGCTGAGAATAACCAACTCAAAACGATAAAGATGGTGCTAGAAGAAGCAGACAATGCACAGCACCCTTCAGCGAGGCAAGAGAATTAAGGGTGTCTCCCTGACTCTGAATTCCTGAAATTGAAAAAAAGCAGGATTTCTTTTCTTTTTTTCCCCTTTCTTTCTCGATCCTCCCGTCCTTCCTCTCTGCCTCCCCGAAAAAGGCAAGTCAAATATTCTTTGCAAAGCACCAGCAAACCTTGGAAGGTATTCAAAAGGTCACCTGTGTCTCCAGGGGCCCAAACACATCATCTGGAGGAAGGCAATTGCAGCTGCCTTTCCTTGCTCATTGGCTAATGCTGCAATTTACACGTCGGGGGGAAGAAAAAACAGTCCTGGGATTGTTTTGATTATACAATCCATAATTGGCTTCATTATAGAGCGATGAGCTCATTCTGGTCACGTGCTCTTTCCACCCCAACCCCCACCCTTAGGATAGGTGCAGAACAGGTCCTGATGCTTCACTATAGCTGGTTTATAATGAAGGAACGGGAAGGGGGGATGGGGTGACGACACATGGAAGAGGGGAAGGGGAAATAAACACCCAGCTTCCCTTGCTAGGCTGGGATGCATCTCCCCTTCCGTTCACTTTTATTGATGGCATATATATACCCAAGCATGATGAGCAAAGGATGCTCAAAGGAGAAATGTGCTTTCCAGATGGACATGGAACAGAACTGGGTCTAAATTCTTGGCATCTGAAGAAAGGGCTGGAAAAAAAAAATAATGCAAATCGATCACAAAGAACATAGATAAGAACTAGTGTCAGCATTGCGACGCTGGCATAGAGAGAGCAGAGGAGAGCGAAAGATAAACTCTGAAACTTTTGCCTGATAAATCCCTTTGAAGCTCGGTTGTCGTGGAAATGAGGGGAGGGGGGCACATTCCTGAGAAATGATGAGGAAAAGAAGTCTGAAGAATGACTTGGAAGACAGCCAATGAGAAGCAGAGATTTGGGGATCGGAAAGGGAGGGATTGAGAGGCAAAAGGTCAGTCTTGTCCACGAGGAGTCATGATCTGGTGGCTGAGCTCAATTAAAGAAAGATTTCCTTAAAGATTGGCAGTTTGGAAATTCATTTAATTTCGAGATAGCACCGCAGTCTGACAGCTAGATCAATGGACCATTCTAGATGACTTGGGATAAGATAGCTTTGAAGGCCCACGGAAGAAAGCCTAACGAGAAGAACAGAGTTGGAAGGGATCTTGGAGGTCTTTTTCTACTCCAACCCCACTGCTCGAGCAGGAAACTTGAGTTCTAGGTTGCTTCTCTCCTGGATTACTTTCCATCCATCTGGCAGGTTTAGTATCAATCGTCATCATGAAAAGTTGCCCATGAAGATGAACAAAGACAGAAGGCAACACTTCTCGACTTGCTCCATCCCTGGATGAACCTTCTGGCACCTGAAATCCTGACTTCTCACTTTAAAAATAGATTCAGGAGATGCTGTTGTGGTTTCGAAATGTGGGCCAACCGAGGACAAACAAACAAAGAAAAAAAGAGGTGAGGGAGTGGAGTCTGACTCCACTACCCTTCTCGTATGTTTCTTAAATCAGGGGTCTCCAAACTTGGCAACGTTAAGACGTATGGACTTCAACTCACAAAATTCCTCAGCCAGCCATGCTGCAGGTTGGGTACCATCATAACCCTCTGATAGTATACCTGAGAGGCATATTTCTGGTTTAAACTCAATATTTTGTTCAATTATCAATTCCAGCCAATTATGTATTTTCTCCCAATATCTTCTTGCATGTCCACCACATATGGTAATAGGTGCCATATTGTTTTGGTCTTTTAATGACCCCGTAATCCCTTACATCAAGGTGAAGTTGGGGCAATTGAATGGAGCTGAGTGTTTACTGGCCGGATGTCTTTCCTATCGCCGATTTATTTATTATTTATTTATTTATTTATTTATTTATTTATTTATTTATTTATTTATTTATTTATTTAGTCGCATTTCTATGCCCCCCAACTCCCAAGGGACTCAAGAGTCCCAAGATGCAGAGTTTGCAGCAGATAATAACTCATTGTGTCCAGAGAGAGAAATATCCGCTGCTACTTAGGTTCAGGAGCCAGGATAGAGTTCAAAAAATACTATGAGTTTATTTCCTGCTACCTATGCACAAGAATTGTTGGAGAAGTCTCTTTGGACTGTAAGGAGATCCAATCAATTAATCCTGAAGGAAATCAAATACCCTTGGAAGGACCGATCCTGAATCCAAAGCTCAAATACTTTGGCCACTTAATTGAAGTTGAAGTCCATAAGTCTTAACATTGCCAAGGTTGGGGACCTCTGTCTTAAATGACCACTAAGGCTCTTAATGTGACCTGAAACTTAGTGTTAAATACAGTGGTGGAATTTAGCTGGTTCTATCCGGTTCGGGCAAACCGGTAGCGGCGGCTGCAGGTGGCTCCGCCCGCCTGCCCAGACGTAATCACATCCCATTTATCCACGTTTTTTGATGCTCTGCGCATGCGAACCGTTGCGAACCGTTAGCAAAGGTAAATGACTATCGCCCCTGGTTAAATACCTATTCCGGAGCCCTCCGGACATTGTAACTTCAGGCCGCCACTCAACTGGGTGGGTGGAAAACAATGTCCTTGCATTTCCGAGCAGAGGTGGAAGGATCCACTCCAGTTGCCATCCTTCCGACAACGAATCACATTATTTTCATCGCCCTGGAAAGAGAAAGGGCGATGTTAGGCAGGAGAAAACTAAGCAGCACCCAAAAGAAGGAAGAGGTCGTCATCGTCCTCCTCCTCCCCTCCACTCACTACCATGTTCAGAGACCACCAAGGACCCCATAGTCTTCCTCCTCCTCCTCCCCCCTCCTCCTCCTATCCCATTCCCTTCTAGCACTGATGATGATACCTAGTTGGGTAATGAAACATCTGCAAAAAAATCACCAAGTTTAGAGAGCACCGAGGACCCCACAGTCCTCCTCCTCCTCCTCCTCTCCTCCTCCTCCTCCTCCTCCTCCTCCTCCTCCTCTCTCCTCTCTCTCTCTCTCTCTCCCTCCCTCCCTCTCTCTCTAAACCCCACTCCCTTCTAGCACTGATGATGTTACCTAGTTGGGTCATGAAACATCTGCAAGAAAACAACCAAGCTTAGAGAGCACCGAGGACCCCACAGTCCTCCTCCTCCTCCCCCGTGCAAACCCCACTCCCTTCTAGCACTGATGATGTTACCTCGTTTGGGTAATGAAACCTCTGCAAGAAAACAACCAAGCTCAGGTATCACCAAGGACCTCCCATTTCAGTCCTGAGCTACAAATATTCTCATTTAATCTACCTTGATCGTTAGTAGTTCAGATTCTTGTAACAGAGTGTTAGCAGTGCAATAAATCTCTATTCATTTTGGACCACCCCGGGCTCTTGATTTCCTGTGCCTGACAGGTAGAAAAGACAAGGGGCCGTCAACCCCCTTCCTGCCCCGGCAATCACCCAACAGGACTCACAGATTGAAGGTCTTCCTCTTTGCACTTAATCTGACACACGCTGTCGAACTGGAAGCCGTTGGTGCAATGGTACAGCCCATGAAACATGGAAGGGGGAGGGTCACAGGTCACAGGGATGCAGGCTCCTTGCAGCCACGTCCCATCTTGGGCACACTGGATCTTAAATGTCCTCCTTCCATAGATGCAAAGAGAAAGAGAGAGAGAGAGAGATGAATGAGAGGAGGATGGAGGAGAGTCCAGAAATCAAATAAGCCCAGTTTCTCCAACCTCTCTTTGCAATAGCCATTGGTGCATCCAGGAAATTAAAAGACGCTTGCTCCTGGGGAGGAAAGCTATGGCAAATCTAGATAGCTTACTAAAAAGCAGAGACATCACCCTGCCAACAAAAGAGCGTATAGTCAAGGCGGATGGTTTCCCAGTTGCAATGGATGGCTGTGAAAGTTGGACCATAAGGAAGGCTGAGCGCCAAAGAATTGAGAGGCCTTTGAGCTCTGGTGCTGGAGAAGACTCCTGCGAGTCCCTTGGACTGCAAGATGATCCAACCGGTCAGTCCTAGAGGAGATCAACCCTGACTGCTCTTTAGAAGGCCAGATCCTGAAGAGGAAACTCAGATACTTTGGCCACCTAATGAGAAGGAAGGACTCCCTGGAGAAGAGCCAAATGCTGGGAACGACTGAGGGCAAAAGAAAAGAAGGGGACGACAGAGAACGAGGTGGCTGGATGGAGTCACTGAAGCAGTCGGCGTGAGCTTAAATGGACTCCAGAGGTAGAGGACAGAAATGCCTAGAAGAACGTTGTCCATGGGGTAGCGATGGGGTGGACACAACTTTGCAAGAACAACAACAGCAAAAAGAAAGAATGCAGAGAAAAGCATTAAAGATGATTAAAAGACTGGAGGCTAAAACATACAAAGAACAGTGGCAGGAATTGAATGCATCTAATTGACTGAAAAGAAGGACTGGGGGTGGGGTGGGGGTGACATGACAGCAGCTTTCCAATATTTGAGGGGCCGCCCCTCAAAGAAGAATGGGTCAACCTATTCTCCAAAACACCTGAAGGCAGGACAAGAAGCAATGGATGGAAACTAACCCAGGAGACGAAACAACCTAGAATCTAAGGAGAAATTTCCTGACAGGGAGAACAATTAACCAGCGGAACGGCTCGCCTTCAGAAGTTGTGAGTGCCCCAACGCTGGAGGTTTTTAAGAAGAGGTTGGATAACCATTGGTCTGAAGTGCTGTAGGGTTTTCTCCCTAAGCAGAGGGTTGGACTAGAAGACCTCCAAGGTCCCTTCCAACTCTTGTTATTCTATTCTATTCTTAAAAGCACCTGCCACTATTCTTGCTGGAGAACTCCAAGATGGTCTCCCAGTGGTCTACTATGTGTCCAAAAAGCGACCTACAGACGAATGCCAAAGATCACTGAGGAGATACCACCTACAACCATTTGTCTGAAACGGTGTGGGGTTGGACTAGAAGACTTCCAAGGTCCCTTCCAACTCTGTTATTCGGCTAAAGATCAAGATCACCGATCACTTTTCCCTTCTTCGGGGGGTTTGCTGTTTATTGGTGAGCCATGTGGGAAGCCCTCCATCTTTGCAGGAGGAGATACACAAACACACTCAGGCCAAACGGCCCCGTTTTGGGGAAGAAAGGGGGGGAAAAAAAACCCCAAACAAAACAAAAACCTTCTACATTCAACCAGAATCTTCAAGCGCTTTGTAACCCAAGAAAGCGCTTGAAGATGCTGGTCTGTTTGTTTTTTTTTTAATGTGGCGGTGTTGGTTCCTCCCCGCTCCCTTCCTCCAAGTCGTAACACCCCCCCCCCGCCCACAACAACAACGTAGGATAGTGAGAAAGTTTTCCCACCGAAGTTCAAAGGGGGCTCCCCAGGTTGCGATACCAAAAGGGCATTTTTGCTAGGAGGAGGCGGGTGGGCCTAAAAGCTGCCTTGTTGAATGAAAAGACATAGAAATGCAGAAAACGGGGAGCGAACTTAAAACTGCCTCTTTCTTTTCTCTTTTTTTTTAAAAGAAGAAGCAGGTCCAAAACGGTCTCCGCCCCCCCAAAGGGACCCATTAAAGACCCTTCCATTGAAGCCCCTCTGAAAGAAAAGAAAGGAAGAATGAAAGAAAGAAAGAAGAGAAAAAAAATGGGGGGGGGCAGGGGACGGGGAAAGGCCAGCTGTTCTTTTCTGTAGTGGAGATAAAATGAAAAAAAAAAGGGGGGGTGGTTGGGTGGGATTTGAGCAGCCCTATTTAAGAATCGGGTATCTGATCTAACCTCCTCTGCTTTCATTAGCACCTCCTGTCCCTGAGCGGTGGCTTTTCTCACTTCTATCAGCTTTTCTTGCAAGTTGCAAAGGCAGGGATGGATCCTTTGTAGATCGGTCCTTCATCAGCCCCGAGGCAGAGTTTACAGAGTGGGGCAAGCGGTGGGGGGTGGGGTGGGGTTCTTTTAAGGCCTACCTCAATGATTTTAGGAATCAGATCAAGCAAGCAAGCAAAACTCTAGAAAGGGTGCAGAGAAGAGCAACCAGGATGATTAGGGGACTGGTGGATAAAACATACGATGAACGGTTGCAGGAACTGGGCATGGCTAAGTCTAGTGAAGAGAAGGACCAGGGGAGACACGATAGCAGTCTTCCAATATTTGAGGGGCTGCCACAGAGAGGAGGAAGGGAGTCAAGCTATTTTCCAA